ATCATCATCATCATCTCCTCTCAACCCCTTGGGCACTCTCTGCCCAATCTGTGCATTGATTTCTCTGCACTCCTTCACATGGAACATAGCGTTGGCATTCTCTCAAACCAAATGTCTCTGTTTCCTTTTAAACACACTATAAATCTTAAAGCGAACAGTAACATTACGCTACAAGCATCACAAAATTATGCATCACTGTACCCATTCAATTCTATAAACTTTACTTGTGCACTGAACGAACACGAACGGAATAGCAGCATTCCAATAAATATATACAAACATTACATGGCATAACGTAGAGGGTGCTTACTTCTCTATTATTCTGTGTGCTGTCGCTAAAATCTAAGTGCTTTATTAGGCTAACATAATACAGAATTTTCACAGTTTTTTGGAATGCCAGCCAAATTCTAACATAACTTTTTTCCTGAATATTTTAAGAGGTGAGGAAAGAAGTGCTTTACAAACAAACGATACCTGGAATCAACGTCAGAGAGAGCGCAACATACACAGACTTAGTAGTTTATTCTAAGCTTTGCTGGCTTTAACAGCTTAATTAAGCTTGTGCAAAAAAAAAAAAAAAAAAAAAAAAAAAAAAAAGTACCACAATCAACAACTGATAGGCTAGAAAATCCCTACGACAGAACGCTCGGCAACGGAAAGCTCTCTCGCTTGTATCAGGCTGCCGCACTGCGTAGTCCTGAGGTTGGAAAGCACACGATGGATCTAGGTTTGTTTTCCACGCTCGCTCCGTCTCCCATGTGGCTGCCCTTCATCTACAGCAGCGCCGGGATCTACTGCTCCGTGGCACGTAGAAAGGAGCTTTACTGCCGTAGCAAACACAATCTGTTACTCCTATAAACTGCGTTCTCCTAGGGAGCTTTGCCAGGGTATTTAGGGTAACAAGACTTCTAATTTGTTCACCAAACCCAAAGGAGCTTTAGAGTTCTTGTGCCACAACAAAAAGCTGATTTACACCAGGGGTCTGCAAAAACGGTCCTGAACCTGAGGTCCATGCTACCATGTAATTTTCCTGAAGCGTGCTATCAATAACGCCTCTTCCACACGTGCTTTCTTCTTAAGTTTGTAATTCTCAAGGCAGGTCAAATGATGCAGGCACGAACATTATTTGTAAGTCAACACGCGTGTCTCAATTAGGGTTTTTAAAACAGACAGGCAAACCCATGTGCCACGCACTCTCGCCACTGCGGCAAAGGCGGCAGTGACTCAGAGTAGCAAAGAACTGTCAGAGGATTTCAGAACTTTCTTCAAAGAGTACTAGAGGTAACAGGAAATAACAGTTTTCTGTTAAGGCACAATTAAACCCTCAGGACAGTAAAGCTTCAGTGACAAAACTCGAACTTTACAGAGTTAAAAATCTCTAAATGGAAACAGGACTATGGCCTCAGGAGAATACTACTGAATTTATTTTTAGATTTAAAGAAGATAGATATGCAAACGAATAAAAAGGGAAATCTTTATTTAACACAAAGTCATTAATTTTGCAAGTGGGATTTACTTTTTAGTTTCTTTTTGCTATTCAGTCCAAAACAGCCCAAAAGCTTCTTCGCGCAATTCTCTGCAATTTAGTTTTCTTTTTTTTTTTCCAGCCCTCTATTGCATTCTTTAGAAATATTCCTCATGGCAACGTTACTTCTCCAGTGCCCCTCTCCTTCCACAACTTCCACTGCCCTTCCTATTTCACAAAGACCAGCCACCCTCAAAACCAACAGCTTTGCCACGTTCTCATCTACACAAACGTACCATTTTTCTACGGGCATGGATCAGAAGCAGAATAAACCCACTTTGGCACCCATTAGTTTGCACAACAAAATATGAATGAGCACACCCAAAATGTCACAAAGTTCACACACGGCTCTTTACCAAGGCTCCTTCCACGGTCCAGCTTGGTTTGCCACACCCAACTACTTTTTAAGCCTGCTTCTGACTACAAAGTATGCAGTAAGTTTTTTGATATAGTAACATGTTGGTTATTTATTAATTATTACTTTTGGCTATCAGAATGAAGAAAAAAATCCCAACTACTTACTTACTTTGCACTACAACACGAACGTTTGAAATTAGCGCCATAAAGTAACAGTAGTGTAACAGGAACGGTTCTGAACACGCTCTCTTGAATCACAGATTCAGAATTTGTTATAAAGACATCCCAAGTGTCCCTGACACATAACACAAGAAGTTGCTTGTTCCCTAAATACCTATACAGAAACAGCTCAAAATGTGTGCGTTGCTTGTGAACCAAGAACCACCTTTAACTGTTTACAACCCATCAAAAATATTAATAATTACTCACCTGAAATGACCATTTTTAAAATAAAAAAAATAAAAGGGGAAATAAGGGGAAGCATTCAAACCATTATGCAAATGAAAGCGTGTACGATTAACTTACACAGTGTTAAAGAGCTGGAATCAATTTGGAAACTAGAGGTATCTATCCATAATCCATCTACACCGTATTAAAAACCACTTACCTGCAACATACTGACAATCTCAACTTTGTTGAAGAAAATAAAGGAAGTGAGGGTAGAAAGAAAATTCTCTTCAAAAACAGATGGTGTCGGCAAGATGATGTCCTGAATATACTGTACCCTGTAAGTCTGGTGGATTTTTTGCCTGAGTTCAGAGTCTGTTATAGGAATAACCTCCTTAAATTTTGCTGTTTTGGTCAAGAACTCCCTGTGCCGTTTTGGCTGAGCCAAAGAAGGATCATACTCAAGGCATCCAACAACATCCATAATACACTCATCAGAAAACATCACCTCAAACAGAGTTGCTTTGTTGAGGAACAAAATTCCTCTAATAATTTCATATAAATGATGTAAGCCTTCGGTGTTCTCTAAATTCTCGCAGACTTGGAAAAGCTGTAATAGTTTTTTAATGTAGCCTTCATTCTCCAAGGCCAGCGCTAGCTTTTCTCTACGGATGGGTGAGGAGAGAACAGAGGTAACTAGGTCAGCAATCTCTTCAAGTTTGTTGAGTTCACAAGTAGGAAGGTCGATCAAAGGACTAGTTTCAGGCATTTCTTCTATGTGTTCCTCTTCTGACTCAATAAGGTCCTGCGTGACTTCCACTGAAGGATCCTTACCTTGAACCTAAGAAGACAGCATGCACGATTACTGTCTCATCCCAAAACACGTGCAAAAATTACCAAGTCAGTAACTGAAATAGCATGCACGTAAGCGCTTTTATACCTTCAGTTGCCTGGAAAATGTCTGGCCATGCAGAGGACTAAGCTTGCTGCCTCTAAATTCTACAAAGTCAATTATCCTCAAAAGTACATTTGTCAAGAAATCAAATCAAACAAAACCAATCCCTTACAGCATCTGCGCAATCAAGAAGCCTGAAACACCTTGGAGACAAGCACAAAATCTAAAAGGAAAAGAAGGGCCTAACAAAACCTTCTTTCAGTGTCTCCAACAGAAGGGGATGAAGCCTTGAACTCGCAGTAAGGGCCCACAGCTATACCAACATTAAGTTGAACATAATAAAAAGGCCAAGAACAAAGGCAGGAAAACGTCACAAATACCAAAACTGAACGAGGAAAGAGGGAAGCAATTGTGTCCCAGTCTGTGCTTTCCTTCCGCTTTGCCTGCCCCTCTAACTCCTTTCCCCAGTCTTCTCATACACCCAATACTTTTCATTCCCCCCACTGATCCAGTTCTACGATTCACCCCCTCTTGTCGTTAACTCCCTCACAAAGGATCGCATGTTACGCGCGAGTCTCAAAGGACAAAGCGGGGAGAGTTCTGGAGCCTGACGAAGGAGCCCAAGGCTAATTAATGGTTTACACTGCCTGATCACAAGAAGACCTTCCTTGCAGCCTGGGCATCAGCTCAGCCCCAATTTCAAACCAATTTAAAACCTGGACTATTCATTAGACACATATACTTGCAGTTACTAGGATCGGTTCTTTTCAACAACAGTACTTCAGAACTGGCCGAGAAGACATTATACCCCCAAACCTGCTAAGATTAAGGATGCATCTGAATTGCCTAGTTTGTTCAAAGGAAACTGCTAGGAAATAGGAGCTCTGAGTTTCTCTAGTTCACAGCTTTACAGCGCATCAGTTCAAAATCTGACAAGGTTATGAGAAATTCCAACGTGAAAGCCCAGGTTTCTTCTTCTAAGTAGACATAGGTGCAACTCCCATTGACCTGTTGCTCCCAGAGTTGAAAGTATAAAATCTCAACTGTTTTGTAATGAAACAATGAAGAGCGAAATATCCGTAAGACACAGATGGTCAGTAAGACTTAGGTCTTGATGGAAAAAAAAGCATCACTGATGTTTTTGAGCTCGTACAGCAATAGCACCTTTGTCCCTCACGGTGAAATACCTAGCTCCTTATGCACTACAACATATTCAGTTCCACTGTGCTCCACCAAGCCAGCTTCCTAAGGCCATCTGGGAGAAGGACAACTAAAACATGGTACCCTGGCATTTCCCTTTTTCATAAAAATAAACAAACCAACCCACCCTAAAATGCCTAGCACCTGAGTTTCATCGTGACACTGATTTTTCAGAAGCGAGAAATTCAGTTACGAAAACAGCAACTAGTGTTCTAAATAGTGGCAACTGAAGATCTTACACAGAAAAGCCACAGAAAATAACGACAAGTATGTGCTTAGTTTACAAGTAGGTGTAAAAATTACAGCGCAAATACATGAAGTCACAGAAGACACTAAAACATCTGGAGAAACAGAATATTTAAGAGTTAACTGTACCTGGCAGATTTTTTCCCAAATTTCATCACAGCCAGCTTTTTCTTGAAAACTCAGTGCTAAATCATAGTTTTCTGCTTCTGACCAAACAATCAGGGTGTCCTGTTTAAGACAAAAACAAAAAAAAAATATAATTGTTTCTGAAACAGGTCTACACTGCGTATTAATCTGTATTCCATTAATTTGTATGTCTAAATAGGAAAAAAATTTTAGTTCAGTTACACTTGTCCAAAAAGAACGTAAGACACTAAAATATTAAATCACCTGCTCTGCCATAAGGGACATGACCTTTCTTTTTTTGCTATTTTATGACCACTACTTTAAATATTTAAATATTTTTTTTTTCACATCCAAAACACTTATGATGGCATTTTTCTCAACATACTTAAGAGCCAGCAGTCTTGAAAAGGGAATGCACACACTGTAGATTACGAAAACCTGCAATATAACAATTTAAGTCTTTTCATATTTAATAAAGTAGAAACCAAACCCCAAGATTACAGCATTTCCTCCTCAGAAAGGGTTTAATACAGCCTTAGCAATGAGAGAAATAATGCCTAACTAATGTTAAAATATTATTTTCTGAATTAAAAGACACAGAGCCTGAATAAGATAAAAATCCCGAGTTCTTACGGAAGTTACAAACACCTTGCCAATGGGTATTTTCATTTCAGCACGATTTTTTTCCCCTGTGACTATTGCCTCGATCCATTCAGTTTGCGCACTTGCAGAGCATATCTGGACGATTCGCTGGAATTTCTCAATGAAGTTTTTTTGATGAGGTTTTATTAGGATACTTGCTGCTGTCCTGCAAGGAACGCAAGCCTGTGCTTCGACATTCGAATATATAGTTCAGCATCCTACAGCAAACTCATCTTCATGTTGAAATATTCAAACTGCACAGCGCTCTGCTAGCTTTGCAGTACATTCTATGAGCTCCAGCAAAATGGTTCAACGTTCCGCCAAGTTTGCTGACTTCCTGAACTGTTACTGTACCTTTTCTTTTTTTTTAAACACCAGCAAGCTCTTGCTTAATGGTCAGTAAGGTAATTTACTTCCCACATTCACAAAGGTCAACATTCGCCACACAACTTATCAAGGCTTGTAAGTCTTTACCTTATGCATCACTTTTATTGTTAACAAAATATTCACAGTGGTTATCTTTAAGCTTAGCAACCAAGCCCAAACAAAGACCTGACTGGCATCCAGATACCCGATACACCTTAGGAAACTTCAGGGGCAACAAGAAACAGAGGCTGCCACCGCCCCCTCACATCTTCACCCCAAAAGTACTTTCTGGTTCCCTTTGCACATCAAATGACAGGAAACGACGAAGCTGATTAATTCCTGTCCGTAAGGCGTTCGCTATGCTGAAAGGCCAACCCGCAACATGGTATCACACAACTACCTGGTCACCATCCTTCAAGTACCCACCAAAAACATAATTAACACCAAGTGATCATCACTGCTCTTGAGCCTACTGTCAGCCAGGTTAGCTTAGGGGGTTTAAACAGACCTTTGTTAACACGGTTATCTGGGCTTACACGGGTCAGGGAGCGCTCCCGTAAGTATTCCCATGGGCAGACGTGAGGGGACTCATGTTTGGGACAGGACTGCTGTAAGCAGCTGGCGTGGGACGGTAGGCTAACTCTGCCGTCAGCACAGCTATCTGAAAAACATGCCCCTGTCTCAACCAACACAACCTACCAGCTGCTACAATTACCACTCTGGAAAACACATGAAAATCAGCATCGCCGATGGGCCGTTAATTCTGCAGTTCATTTCTACAGTCATCTTAATCCCTCAATATCCATATGTAGCCGTGTGTTTTGAGGGGTTTGTCTTTACTTTTTTTTTTTTCTTAAAACAGAAAAAAGTTTAGCACAACATCTTTTTCTTACAGCAACACTGCTGACAAATGCCTACCAACAGATCAGCTTCCTTCTCCCAAAACATAATCACAGGCCACGCTAAAAACAACAGCATTTGCACAAGATCCATTTTTTTTCCCCCCTTTCTCATTTTTACATATTCCTTTAAAGAAGCAAAAGTTCTCCCATTCCGGGAAGAACTGATCTCATCACGCTACGGTTTTAATGCTGTTCAGAGAGTTATTTGTCTATACGACAGTGCCCTCTATTACACTTGCACTTCTGTCCTACAGTCACAAACGTGCGGTCTCCCCGCTTTCAGGCTCCGATTCACGTGCGCAAATGGTACAGCTTCGTATAGCGGACCCGGTTTTTGCCTACAGCTGTCTGCCCTCATCTCCGGCTCACGGACAGCTGAAACCTGTGTTTAGCATGCTGCTTTAGAGTGAGCAGTTGAACTGAGCTTCAGGGAAAAAAACAGTGTTTGTCAACTTCAGGCTCTGATCAGCTCCCTGATCTGGTTCTCTTTTGAGAGATTAATAACAAAAAAAAAAATATATATAAAAAATTCTTAAGTATGATTTTATGGCTGTTAGAGAACTCGAAATCTGAAATGTCTGTTTTGAGATGTTCTGTGAACTTACTGACTTCCCGACACTCAAAATCAATACGCTTCCAGGTGAGCTGAGACTCAGGGGTGCCTCAGTGAACACAGAAGGACACATACGTTCATAGCCCAGAACCATTCAAGTAAGGGATACAGCGCGGTAACTGAAATGACTGCACGCATCCACAGAGCCTGCACTCCAAACTTGTGAGAACTCTCGAGTGACTGAATGGTGCTCGTTTCAATCTGTCCTGCCCACGCAAAGCAGAAGTTATGTAAGTTTCTCCAAAAAGATTTCTGATGAAACTGTCTTTTAGTCTTTCAGAAAAGAATTGTCCAATACCAATATGAAAATCTACTCGTCCGGCGTACACCTCCTGCATGACCTAAGACAACCCACGAGGGCCACAGACAGACACCTTCCAGGCCTAGCTGCTGTGAGAGACTACCACTCCCACCCGCTTAGATTAGCAACAGCAACGTTCCCCAACTTCACGCGAATGCAATATAAAGACAAACAAAAGACGAGATTAATTCAGAACAACAATTTAAACTAAGACCGTAGTTCAACCCCCTCTTCGGTGTTGGTAGTGGTTTGCACAATGTCTGCCATTCCACCTCTCCTTGTTCCTCCACCGGCCCCTCACCCTGCTGCTAGGCCAGCACAAGCGTGCTGTACAGTGAACCAGGCGGGGGAACACACGCTGATAAAAATTAATCCAGCAAAAAGAGATGTTTCAACTGAATCAGTTCCTGCATTTAACCTGGCACACAGTAACACGAACACTCATGCAGGCACGAAAGAGGAGCGAAAAAGCCCCCTAGCAACTGCTCAGGCTGGCTTTAACAGCACCCCTGCAAACATCTTAAATCCTGGCCTCAAGTAACTTCCATTTTGCCTCAAGCAAATTGCGCTGGTGTCACATGAGCGACGGCAACTCTGGGCAAAAGCCAGTATTTGCACACGTTCTTCATCTCAGGTCTGAAAACGGATAGAGCGCACCTAAAGGAGAGTGAACACCAGAAGGCAGCGTTCACAGTAGGGATTTCTGTAGCAGTTTAAAGCCTTACAGCTGTGCAACTGAAAATTACTGCCCTCGTAACTGAGCTGGAGGAACAAAGCAGACGAAGGGATCCACCTGGTTTCTGACTGAAGACACGCTCTTCTGCCAGCTTTGCCAGGGAACAGTAACCTCAAGCAGAGGATGAACAACACATGGGTGTGGTAACAACTTTTTAAACTGCTCCTGCTAGAGCCTCCAGAACACATCTGACCCTGCCCTGTGGCCAATACGGGGTGTCCAGTGGAGGCACGTAACTCTCAAAGCCTATGCCCCCAAATCCAGGGGGATCTAAAGCTCTTCAGGCTGTCCTGTTTTTTGCATACATGGAATTAGAGATTCTTTTACGTTGTATGCTTAGCAGCCTGACACTTATGCCCAATCCAAGACCCATTTCTCTTGAGAAAGAGGTCCTGATTATAGCATGCCTAACACCTTGATAGAATTGAGTCCTGCAGGAAACCTAGGGACCACAAACACGATTTGAGAAGGCAGGTAACAGGCCTGCCCTGTTTACCGTTAGTCAATAGTTATAGTACTATTTAGCATAAACAGTGTAATATCGGGCATCACAGACTGATGCACAGCAGCTAAAAATCAGGGTGGGTGTTTCTTCTGCAGAATGATGGTGTGCAAGTCACAATTTAAGTGACTGCTACCGTGTGAGTGCACGCAAGTCACTTCTATGAAGACAGATGTGTAGGCAGGGCACGTATCCATCCATCAAGCTGCACCATCTTGCGGCTTTCCCCAAACCCAAGACGATCAGCACCTTAATGAAAATATGCAATTGAACTCTGGCAGGTGGGAGAGCGCTCTCCTCCACGCTGCCATTCACCTACAAGCACCTGCCCTGGGCAGATCACACAGCCTCCCAGGCTTCAGGCTACCTACGTAACAGACTTCAACATTCAAGCAGGGACACTGAGGAGAGATCACCTCTCTTCGCCTCTGGCTAACCAAAACATTTTGCCTAACTCTTTCCATCGTTTTTACAAAGGATCTGTTCCCGAGACGCCCAGGTTTGAATACCACAATCTTTTAGAAGCAAGACTGAAGTCTCACAAACGGAGAAGCATGGCAATGCTACATTAAGGTCTGCTTTTTGCTACTCTACGCAGAAGGAAGCACATAAAACTTGAGGACAAAGCTCTGTCAACTAAAAGCTGTAAGATTTCAGAGGTCAGACAAACTTAAAACCTGTCTCTGGAAATCATCAATCATTATTCCTCTTCAAATAAATGCAACCCAAACTTCTTTGGAAGAGTGAACAGCGAAGCAAACGCTTTCAGCCGCGAGAACACAAAAGCATTACAATCAGTAATGAAAGCCAACAAAAATAAACCTCAGCCTGAGTTTTTCAAGTCTACAACCTATAAAGACTTCCATAAGAAAATGACAACAAAAGCTACTTATGTCGCTTGAAATTTTGCTACCAGTTTACTTAAATCATCAGTTGTATGAACTTGCAGAAAACTGGCTGCAAAAGGAAGCAATTTTAGACTTTACAGCAACACGATCTGCATTCGTATTTCATTACGTATTAGTTTTCTCCACTAAACAGGAAGGAGTTCAAGGCTCTTGACTTTCAGAACCCTGCAGAGCTCCATGAAGATGGTCCTCCTTCCTCAGCATGGCCCGCCCAAGGAAAGCCTGACTAAAACCACCAATATCTAATGAGTGAAAAGTAAAAACCACAGAAAACAGAGCCTTCCTAGGCCCGAGACTGTGACTCGCTCCTAAGCTAAAGTCAGCCAAGCTGCACTCAAGAGCTAACAAAGTCTCCTTCCTCAAATTCTCATAACGTAACTTGTAAACTTTCCATCCGGGGGGGGGAAAAAAAAAAACAAAACAAAATCCTTAAAACATTTCTCTCTTTATGATTTAGGAAGAACAAAATTACTGCTTTCTAGTACTGAAACACTCCTGGATACCATAATGGTGAAGAGCAGTACAAAACGCTGAACAAAAGGAACAGAGAAGCTACTGCAGAACAAAGGAATAGACAGAAAAAAAAGAGTAATAACCATGAAAACAACGTAGGCAGAGGCACCAAAAATTAATGCAGAAAAAGGAAAAAGCAATACAAGCAAAAGAGATTTAGGAAGCTAATTTTTGTAGTGGATTAAACAAAAATGACCTATTCACACAGCTCCCAACTGTTTTCCTGCTTTGTTTTGCAGAAGGCTTACCCCCAGGCAAGGCAAGTGGGTCTCACCGTGGCTAGTCCCTTTACTTAGGTTAGCAGGCGTTTTCAAGGGTTAAACCAAAAACTAAACAGCAACAGCAAAAGAAGTCCCACAAAGACAAATTCCTTTGTGTTGTTTCCAGAAAAAGAACTCAAGAAGTAAATACACTGTAGGAGAGCTGGCCCACGCTTTGCCTTCCTAATTCGGCAATTACTTCATGCGGCCTGGGATGGGAGACAAAAGTTACACATACATGTTTCTAGCTGTTTTTCCTGTTGTGAGTTCAGTATTTATCCAAATTGTGTATGTTCTCTTCAGAGACTGAAGTCCAAAAGAGTTTATCTAGGAGACCAACATTTTAATTTCTAGAATGCAACGTACTATAGCACCTACGGGCTTCTAAGTGAGTTTTTCACCTCTACAAAAAACGCCATCGACAAGCGCACGTCACGCCGCTTTGCTTTTTTTTCCTGAAAAACGCAGTTAGTTTCAGCATAAAACCATTCCTTAGCATCAGTGATCAGAGGGAGCAGGGGAAAAAAAAAAAAAAAAAAAAAGCCTAAGCAGTAATACTTGCCTGCTGTTTTTGATATGCAGTATTTGGATTTATCTTCGATTCTAACAGTAGCGAACCTGGAAAAGGTATAAAGAGATATTTACTGAGTTTATCAAAATAAACATCTCCACACATCTTACAGAAACCGCCCATGTGCCAGCCAACATCTGCTCAACTTAGTCCAGCAAGCCCAGGAGAACCACCTTCTTTTAACAGAACTGCCTAAAATAAGCTAGGTAAGACAAAATTCAACCTAAATATCTGTATTAAAATGTACTTTTTCCTCTCCTAATTTAGACCAAAATTCTCTCCAGCACTGTTTTTTCTCCCAAAACCTGATGCGACAAGTAGCTTGTTTAAAGGCTGTTTAGCCAATTTTTACAAATTTGCAGCAGGTAACACACTGCCCAGCGTGAAAATGTTTTTGCCCACAGAAGCCACGTGGGCCGTTTGCTTTTATTTCCTTCAACTGCCCTTCAGAAGTGAATCATCTAGATACTATAAACCCAGGGACTTTATCTTGTGCGTGCAAGCAGTGTGTGTATCCCGGCAACAGCTCCCGAGTAATTTATACCGGTCTTAGGTGGTTTATTTAGCACATTAGCACCTGTCGGCCGACAAAGCAGCGAGCCTGCACCCTCCCCCCTCCAAAACGAGCCCCTTAAGGTGATTTTAAAGTGCACTAAAACACGAGGAACCCCACGCAGCTCGAATACAACCAGTGAATTTCTAGGGGGAACAAACACACACTCAATCAACTCTTTCTAGTAGCAAGAAGGGGAGGAAGAGCGCACTTCGAAAGCGACCCAAATTATTCCGAAAGCGCCCAAGATGTCGTCACACGTTACAACTTCATCGCTATTCGGTCAAAAGAGATGCAGCCGGCCAGGGTAACTGGAAGGGGGAAAAGGCTAGGGCCGCGGTGGTAAACACTGCCGCGGCTGATCGGGGGAAGGAAAGTTTGCGCGGAGCCGCAAG